CAGATGATGCTAAGAAGACATTTGGTGCTCGGAGCAGTAGCAGTAGAATAGCAAATCCCTGAGTCTCTTTTTTTTTTTTTTTTTTTTAATATTTATTTATCATTGAGAAGCAGAGCATGAGAGGGGGAGACACAGAATCTGAATCAGCCTCCAGGATCCAGCTGTCAGCACAGAGCCTGACGTGGGGCTTGAACTCACCAACTGAGAGATCATGACCTGAGCCGAAGTCAGACGCTTAACTTACTGAGCCACCCAGGTGCCCCTCTCTGAGTCTCTTGCCCAGAGAAACACAGTGTTACCACTGCTTACAGATAAGGCATGAGTCAGTCTGTTATATTAAACTTAATTGCAGCAGTAGTAAGAATCTGAGATTTCATCTCATCTTTAGATGTCTTGATTTTCAGGTGAGAAAGCTAAGGCCTAGAGAGGAGGTGAAATATGCTAGTCAGGATGACACAGCCAGGTCCCTTTGGGGAATAAACATACAATGTAAATGTATTTGAAGAATAAATGTACTTCAGATTTCAATGGCTACTTTTTAAGGAACAAATAAATTTCATAAAATAAAAGTTATAAAAATCCCTTAATTTGGAGATCCAAAAAAATTTCCTTCCTCAGTTTTCTATTTTGAATGAATTTTATAGTGGGCATTTAAAGAAGAAAAAGGAATCCTTTTATTGTACAAGGGAGAGAAGGATCTCAATCTTAAGTCTACTTTGAGAACCTACATTAAAATACATGACAATAAATTAGTTCTCTTTCTTCTTCTGTTCTTCCGTATACAAAATAATCTTTCTTTTATCAGTTAGGAACTGATTCTAATGTATGTTTATGTCTGGTAATCTCTTTAAGCACCATTCCAGTAATCTGGTGGCCTCACTTTAGAATAAAGGCATTAGGTTTTATTTGTTTAGCCAAATTTAACTGAGGGTTCAAGTCCTCAAATTGCCTAAAGACAAATGGGAAGCATACATGCCAGCAGTCACAGTATAATGTGATATTTGCCTGACAGTAGCCACTCAATAAATGTCTGACAAGTGAATAGGGGCACCTGGATCACTGAGTCGGTTAATCATCCAACTCTTGATTTCATCTCAGGTCATGATCTCTCAGTTGTGAGATTAAGCCCCGTGTTGGCCTCCGTGCTTTCTGAGCATGGAGAGATTTTCTCTCTCCTTCTCCCTCTGTCCTTCTGTATGCACATGCATGCATGTTCTCTCTCAAAAAAAAAATAGGTAAATAAATGTCTAACAAATGAATAAATTAATATAATGGAAATATGTTAAAAAATGAAGGACCCCCTGAGTCTTTCTGCAAAGTCAGGGAATGTTTCACAGAGAACATAGCACTTGAACTGAGATTTGAAGACTGATACAAAAAACAATAAGGAAGCTATATTATCTGGAGGGAATAGCATAGGCTTGTTTTTAGATTTACATTTATTTCCCAGGAAAAGACTTATTTGCTTTTGTAATTTTTTTTTTTTTTTACTAAAACTTCTATGATTTCTAAAATCTAATGTTTCTGAAGATCTCAAGGATCACATTTACTGGACCTAACTTATCAAAAACCCAATCTGACAAATGACAAATGAAAAACTACCTACCCTATACTTAAAAATTGATAGGAAAGTCCTTTTACAGCATTTCTCTTCAGTTTATAATTTATTTGAATTATTTTTGTGCCACTATTTTTCTGAGAATTGTGATATTATTATTTATGTCTCTTTAAAAATAATCAAGTTCAACAAGTGAATTTTTTCAGAGCTAGGCTACAGTATTGTTTGGCACATAATTTTTAAGTTCTCATATTCTGCTTCAGGAAGATAACAATGCTCTTGAAATATTTGTGTTTAATAGCTTACATATGTTATTCTTGTATGTTTCAACTACATTTTTAAGAGGTAAAGGAAAAATGTTAAAAGAATGAACTAAAGATTAAATTAGCTAACATTTCAAAAAGAAGCAGTCACTAGCAGTTTCTTTGGTAGAATCAACCACTGCTAACACCACCATCTGATCGACACTGGATCCTGATATATATCAATCTCAGATGATAGCGGTGGCAATAGAACATTTCTCTGTGTATTGTTTAACACCCTGGGACGTGTTTGCCGTGTATGAAATTCCCATTTGCCTAGACCTGAGTTGTAGGTTGCTTCCATTTGTCTTTCCATGGCTTGATTGTAAAATTCATGAAAAAAAATTAATCTGAATTTGAACTATAAACTCATATCTCCCAGTCAGTGGCATTTGTTGTCTGTCCTGACCATTGGGCACTCCTGTCTGAGTAATAGTAAACCCAAAGAGAAAGGGGGGAAAACCCATCTTTGCTTCCCCAGCTCTTAAGCACGAGAAATATTCCATTAAAAGGCACAAATTATATGTGGACAGGTAGGGCTATGGCCTTATCTGCAACTAGCACATTTAAACCCATTCACCTATTCCTAAAATGTTGCTCAGTAATGAAAATCCAATTTCTCCATCAACTGTCTCCTTTCTCATCTGATCTACTCCCTAGAAGTTCATTCACTTTGAGATCTGCCTTGATCTTTCAACATATCTTCAGTCTTATTTCTGATTCACTTATTGGGCTAACAAGAACCTAGAAATTATTTGGAATTTCTTGTTAACAGTAATGAGATTTTGTTTTAAGTAATTTTCACGTGGGTCTTTAGCATTAACAATTACCATTTATAGGATACTTAATATATATATGTACTATAAGAGGATATTCATAATATGAACTCATTTATCTTAATAACCCTTATGAAATAGGCATTTTTACCAATATTCAGATGTAAGTAAGACTCAGATTAATAACATGCCCAAGATCATAAAGCTAACAAATAGCATAGAGAGAATTAAAACTTAAGTCTGTCTGACTTAAAAACCTAAACCTGGGCTCTTGAAAATACACGTTTCTGGCATTCCATTTATACATTAGATTCCTCTGACTAATGTAGGCTGCACTTGAAGTCTGCATCCAGGGATTAACATTTTAACCCTGATTTCTGAGGATGGATTAAAATTTAAATGCCTAGATCCTTTTACAAAGCAAAATATAATAATAAAGGTGATTCCCAGATTCCTAATAGCCCTAAGAATGAATCAGAATATAAAATGTATGGGAATGCAAGCTGGTGCAACCACTCTGGAAAATAGTATGGAGGTTCCTCAGAAAATTAAAAGTAGAACTGCCCTATGACCCAGAAATTGCACTACTAGGTATTTATCCAAGGCATACAGGTGTGCTGTTTTGAAGGGACATATGCATCCCCATGTTTATAGCAGCACTATCAACAATAGCCAAAGTATGGAAAGAGCCCAAATGTCCATTGATGGATGAATGGACAAAGAAGATGTGGTGTATACACACACACACACACACACACACACACACACACACACACAATGAGTATTACTTGGCAAACAAAAAGAATGAAATCTTGCCATTTACAACTACATGGTTGGAACTGGAGGGTATTATGCTAAGCAAAATTAGAGAAAGACAAATATATGACTTCACTCATATGAGGACTTTAAGAGACAAAACAGACGAACATAAGGGAAGGGAAACAAAAATAATATAAAAAGAGGGAGGGGGACAAAACATAAGAGACTCTGAAATATGGAGGACAAACAGAAGGTTACTGGAGGGGTTGTGGGAGGGGAGATGGACTAAATGGGTAAGGGGCATTAAGGAATCTAGCCCTGAAATCATTGTTGCACTATATGCTAATTTGGATATAAATTTAAAAAAATTAAAAAAGTAAAAGAAAGAATATAAAATGTAATTGTGAAGTTGCTTAGATTTTGATTTTGATTCTTTTCCTCTATTTCAATGCATTTATCATTGTATAATCTAGCTTTAACTGAAATGTCTGCATAGAGTAAAAGTTTTTCACCCTTGCCTACAATCCTCCCAACAGAAATACTGTTTTAATCCAGTTTAACAAATTCTCCTTTACCAATTTTGAGCTTTGTAGCCTTAGAAAAATCAGTTTTCTAAAATCTATCCACTATAAATTTTGCTTCTATTAAAATCCTCTTTGGATAATTCATATTTAAGAAATTGTTTGCTTTCCCAGTTTTACATTTTTTCATGGGTTCTTAAGAATTTAGGGGAAATTGAAATAGTTTATTGGTTAATAGTTCTGATTCTGGAATCAGACTTGTGTAATCAAAGTCGTAACAATTAATATCTGGTAGACACCAGAAAGTTTACTTAACCTCTCTGAGCCTCAGTTTTCTTTTCTATCAGGTGGCTGTATGACCCATCTCATAAGGTTGTAAATATTACATGAAACACTTTTCACAATACTTTGTACAGTAGAAGTTAAACTATTACTGTTGTTAATTTAGATTTTGAAGTGTGTTCTTTGTGAAACAGAGTAATAGTATTTTAGGGCTAGAAGAAACCCTTACTGATCATTTAATATAGCACCCCTATATTTCCTATGACACTGAAGTCCAGAGGAAGGGCAAAAACTGGTTTGAGGGGTTTTGGTGAATTGGTTATGGACCTAAAACTAAAGTAAACCCAGTATTTTCATGGACAGAAAGCTTCTGTTGCTGTTACTGTATTATTTTGTTCTTTGTGCTTCTACCCATTGATTCTTTTTTTTTAATGCCATTGAAACTATTGGGTTGTTTCTATTTCAACTATGCAACTATTTAATGTCATAGTAGATTGGCATGAATACTTTTTTTTTTCTTCTTTGGTTAGCTAGCTTTTCTTCACACCCAGTATTAGAGATGCAGCTTTGATATTAAGCAGTATAAGACAAAACAAAACAGAAAAACCTGTGGTCATTTATGGTTTCATTCCGTCCTCTTAGTTTTCTGCTGATGTTCTGACATGAGACATTGCTTCCCACAGTAGTGGAGCATGGCTTGGTTAGAGTGCTGATTAAGTGAAGGCCCTCTGGTCCACTTACAAACAGTAGTGAGTTCAGTACGGATAACAGTATTTGGTCTCTGTTCTCTCTTACGTTGTAGAGCCGACAATTAGAATCAGAAACTGGAACCACAGAGGAGCACAGTCTAAACAAGGAGGCTCGAAAATGGGCTACACGTGTGGCACGTGAGCACAAAAACATTGTTCACCAACAACGGGTAAGTGCAGTAGAGAGTCTTAGGCTACATTTAGCTTAAGCCAAATGTCAAACCAATTTAATGAGTTGAGTTCTATTAATGTGAAAAATATCCTATGTTTTTTTCTGTAATTTCTCACCATTCAGCTGTATGCTCTCAGCTATCTACTTAGCTTGGAAATTCCTTAAGCCTGGGGCGCCTGGGTGCCTCAGTCAGTTAAGCATCAGATTCTTGATTTTGGTACAGGTCATGATTTCACAGTTCCTGAGATCAAGCCCCACATCAGGCTTGCACTGACAGTGCAGAGCCTGCTTGGGATTCTCACTCTCTCCCTCTCTCCCCCTTCCCTCTCTCACTTTGTCTCTCCCAAAATAAATAAATAGATATACATACATACATACATACATACATACATACATACATAAGTTATAATAAAAAAAATTCCTTAAGCCCTTCAAGCAGCAGCTTAGTAATTTATTTTTTTGCCATAGAATTGCCTGAGAAAGCCTAGTGATAGTGTTACCGTGTTTCAGGTAGTGGAAGAGATATGCCTGTGTTGAATTAAGCTTTTAATTCCCTAGACAAGTTTTTTGAAGTCTTAATTGTAGATTCCATGAAAATGTGTCTTCAAGGGGTGCCTAGCTGGCTCAGTCAATAAAGCATGTGACTCTTGATCTCAGGGTCGTGAGTTTGAGCCCCATGTTGGACATAGAGTTTACTTAATAAAAAATTTAAATTAAATTAAAAAATTAAAATTAAACACCAAAAAAAAATGTATCTTCAAGACTAAATTCTAAGCACAAAGAAATTACTTTAGGTGTAGTAAATTTTTTTCTAATTTCCCTTTATTTATAATTTTTGTCTTTATCTTCATATCCAACATATTAAAAGAATTTTCCATATTTAATATCTGTATTTCCTAATCTCTCACCCATAACATTTGGACTTTTCCTTCTTTCCTCTCCCTGCACTTCATACAGACTGCACTTGCCCAAATCACCAATGATATCTATGTTGCAAAATCCAAAATGGACACTTTTATTTCTTAAAACCTGTTGGCAGTTTCATCACAATTGACAGCTCCCTTTGTGTTGAAACACTCTCTTCTCTAGTTATCCCTGTCTTAACATTGTCCTGGTTTTCCTTCTGCCTCTGTGGCAATTCCTAAGTTCTTCTTTCTCCACCCCACAATTTAAATATTTAGATTCCTTGGGTTTCTGTACTAAGCTATCTTTTCTTATTCTTTAGTCCCTTAACTGGCAGTCTCAACCAGTGCCATGGTTTCGCTTACCAACAAATCATAAATTAGTATCTTCAACATTGGGCCTTTCTTCTGTGTATTCATATATCCTCTCACCTGCTTGGACATCCCCACAGGCATCCCACATTCAGTGTTCCACTCATCTAATGCTGTAAAACAAATGGCCTAAAACTTAATGCCACAAAAAGAGCATATTTCACTTGTCTCTTAGCACTCTGGGGATTGGATGGACTTAGCTTGCCACTTCTCACTTGGGAGTCTCCCACGTGGTTGCAATCAGATAGTGACCACTGCAGGAGTCACCTCACAGACTTGCCCACTGACATATCTGGTCTTGGAACAGGAAGACTTGAACAGCTGGGAGCTGGAACTGGTAGAGCTCCTCATGCATCTCAGTCTCTCCAGCACAGTGGCTTTAGATTAGCTGTATTTCTTACATGGTAGCACAGGGCCTCAAAGGTGTGAGTCCCAAGAGTGAGCCAGGTAGGAGCTATGTTATCTTTTCTGGCCGAGCCTCAGAAATAACATGATACTATTTGTGTCATATTTTTGTTAACTGAGGCAGTCACAAAGGCCTGTTGTCCAAGTTCAAGGAGAGAGAACATAAACTCCACTTCTTGGTAGGGAAACAGCAAGGTTCTGCAAGAACATGTGGAATGGGAAATATTGTAACTTTTTTTGAAAATAGCCACAGTCTACTTTCTGGGTATAACAGTTCACATCCCACTTGCATGCAAAATAAAATTCCCCTTTTTACCCAAATCCTCCAAAGCCTGGCATCAGACTCCAGTTTGAATTTTAGAATCTGGTCATCTAAATGAGATCCATAGACAGATAAGGCTTTTTGCCTGTAACACAGTATATCTCTGTCAAAGAATTTGTGAACTAGAGAGACAAGTTATCTGTCTACCATATATCCAATAAATAGTGATTAATTACTGCAGCTTTGTACGTCAAAATGTAAAACACGTAAAGAGACTGTTGCATTAAAATGCCTTACTATATTTGAAAGTAAATGTTTAGATATTAAAAATAAATCTGCTTCCTCTCTCTGATGTCAAGGCATGTTGTGTCTTTCTGCTAGGAGATAGAGACAGGCAGATTTCAACAACTTTTCCATTTCTTTGTAGTATGACCTATGATAGGCTTTAATCTTGTAAGGTATAATTTAAGCAATAAAGTTAAGGGGTTCTGTTTTGGGCCATGATAAGTTACCTGGGATCACACACTTACCCTCCTTCACAAACAACTATAAAGCTAGTCTAAATATATGAAACAAATGTTTTCAGACACTGTACAACAGGTAATAACAGGAGTGTGAAACCTGAGAGAAAAAATAACACTGAACTTGGCCGTATGACTTCTCAAGCTTTCTGCCTAAAGGCCCTTTCTATATTGCAGTGTAGGGAGGGAGAACTTAAGCAGGGCACCACAGACTCACTGAGTTGAGATGACAGAAATCAGAGTTCAAAGAGCTGATGTGGCATGAATTTCAGGGCAAAGTACCAGACAACATGGAGATGCAAAGAAAGAATTCCAAACATGTACGTAGGTCTCCCCTTCAATCTGTTGAATACTAAACCACATAAGCATATGGTGAAATTCTACAATACTGGATAGAGAATGACAGTGGAGATAAACTGAACGATTCCCAGAGATCACATAGGGCTAGGACACATTCAAGTTGTTCCTAGCCAAGGTTGAGGCTGCTCTTAGTTGACTATTCATGGATCATTTGGGGCATTCAAGAGACTACAGTAGGATCATACATTGGTTCCAGGGGTAAATTAGTCCTAGAATAAGGCTATTTTAGAATTAACCTAACAGAGCTTTAAAACAAGCTTCAGAAAGATCAAGCTAATCCACAAGTAATTTATTTGCCTGCCAGAAAAAAAAAATCTCTTCAAAGGAAGGAAACAAAATCCAACATTTAACAACATAGTATTTATTATGTCAAGAGTAAAATTTGCAGGATACCTATGTGGCTCATTGAGTTGAGCATCCAATTCTTGATTACAGCTCAGGTCATGACCCCAGGGCCATGGGATCGAACCCTGCATCGGGCTTTGCACTGAACGTGGAGCCTGCTGGAGATATTCTCTCTCTCTCTCTCTCTCTCT